GAGAATGATACAAAAAAATCAATGAAGCCAAGAGTTGGTTCTTTGAAAGAATCAACAAAATTGACAAACCCCTAGCCAACCTTATCAGAAAAAGGAAGGAAAAGGCCCAAATTCATGCAATTAGGAATCAAATGGGTAAAATCACAATGGATCCTGTACAAATCCAGAAGATCATCAATATCTACTTTGAGAACCTATACTTAATAAGATGAAAAACACAGCAGAAATGGACAGATTCCTAGATATATGAATTAACAAAGTTGAATCATGAAGATATAAAAATTCTAAATAACCCAATATCAATCAATTACATTGCAAATGTAATTTAAAAACCTACCAACAAAGAAAACCTCAGGCCCTGACATTTTCACTGCTGAATTGTATAAGAAATTGAGAGAAATTTTTTAAAAATTTTAAAAAGAAAAAGAAAAAGAAATTGACAGATCTAATGCCACTACTCTTCAAACTCTTCAATGAAATTGAAAAGGAAGCAATACTTCCAAAATCTCTCCTGGAAGCAAGAATTACCCTAATACCAAAACCAGAGAAGGAGCCAACCAAAAAAGAGAACTATAGGCCAATTTCCCTAATGAACATAGATGAAAAAGTCCTCAATAAGATACTGGCAAACAGAATGCAGCAAATCATAAAAAAGATTATACACCATGACCAAGTAGGATTCATCCCACGAATGCAGGGATGATTCAACATATGCAAATCAATAAATGTAATACACCATATCAACAGAGCCAAAGACAAAAATCACATGATCATCTCAATCAATGGAGAAAAAGAAAAATTTGACAAAGTCCAATACCCATTCATGATAAAAACCCTACAAAAACTTGGAATGGACGGTCTCTACCTCAATCTGATAAAAGGCATCTATGAAAAACCAACAGCCAATATCATACCAAATGGCCAAAAACTGAAATCCTTCACACTTATTATAAGGATAAGGAACAAGACAACGATGTCCACTATAACCACTCCTGTTCAATATAGTCTTGGAAACATTAGCCATGGTAATTAGACAAGAGAAAGAAATAAAAGG